TTTGATTTGGCTAAAAAACAACTGCTTTGGGCTGGTAGGTCAATTCCTTAATCATAATTATGCAAATTCTCACGACCATTGAGAGTTTATACTTTAAGAGCTCTTTGGAGCACACAAGTTGCAAATAGTTGGTCCACTGATGGATTGGTTAGCACTGTTTCCTCACAGCAAGATGGCTTATAGTTCAAGTCCTTGCTGAGGCCTTTCTGTGTGGTGCATCCATGATCTCTCTTTGCGTGCATGGGTTTCCTCCAAGTACTCCAACTTCCTCCCGCAATCAAAAGACATCCAAGTTAGTTGAATTGGTAATTCTAAATTGACTGTGTATGAGGCAAATAAAATACTTTAAGTGTATAGAATAAAATGCTATATAATGTATGATTAAAATGATATCTTCTAAAGCCCTTTAAATAAAAAACATCATAAAAATGAATGTATTGCAAAATTGAAAGCGGGTAATGAGAAGGCATCAAGGTAAAAATAGATTTCATTGACATGATCATCAAATATCTTCATAATTTGTGTTGAAATACTTTAGAAATGTGTTTCATTGATCTGTATTACCTGTTCTCGACTGGAATAGGGGGCATTTAGTTGATTCATATTGCCCAGAAGAAACTTTTAATGATGCATAAAACAACGAGGCAGATAAAGATGCCTGCATTTACAAATAACGGCTTGATTTCATAATTATTATCTGAGGTTGAAGGTTTTGTCAATCCAGCTGATGCAAAGAAAAGCTTCTATTTTGATTTAGTCAGTAAAATACTGCAGTATAAGTCATTCTGGATTTACCTCTAGCTCCACCATGGGGTTAACATGTGTGATCGTTATTAAACTACTTCAGTAATGTTGGTTGATTTGCAATGAATTTTGCTGCAAATATGGCTTTTTTTTTCTGTTTTTGAAGAGGTGAGGTTATCTTCTTTAAGGAGGGGATATTGGTTTAGTCAGTTCTTCAGTGCTTCTCAGGAGTAAACTGTCATTGCCAGCAAAACAGCCAACCAGGAAATGTTCCTCTGAAATGCAAACCATGATGAACTAATATATTTCTAAGACTATATGGCACACATGCTTAAGATTCACTGACAAAAATAATAAATATCCAGGGATAGACGAAATTGTACAAAACAATAGCTAAAAAAAAAAGGATTACTTTAACACTAGATAAAAGAGAGGTGGCTGTTTTTTACTATGCCCAGGAGGAGGTAAATGTGACAGGAAGTGTAGATTTGAATGTTTTCAGAGTTAACCAATCAGGTGCACATTACAGTCTGACTTAATGTAATCATCTCACCTCCTTTTCACTGAAATACCAACAAAGTCCTTAACATAGATCAGTGTAAAGATGATTGTGATGTGGATTACAATGTTCCTTCTTCATCAAGGATGTAAGTACTTTTTTCTTCTTTTGTCCAAAATTATTCTTAGTGAAAAACTTGTCATGATGATTTATATTGTGACCTGCTGGAACAGAAACCAAATAAATATAATTTTGCATTAAAAATTTTCCACATCTTACAACATTTTATTTTTCTGTGTTTTCTGTGTTTCAGATTCTCTGGTCCCAGTAAAAACCGTTCAGCTCGGTGAAGCAGCAACATTAACATGTGCTTTACCCATTAAAGAATTTGGCAGTATAACAGTCCACTGGTACAAGCAGAGCGCTGGAGATGGTCTTAAATTAATTGTGACATTGTCCAAATCAGCACCACCTGAATATAGTCCTGAATTTTCTAGAAAGAGATTTCATGTGGAAAATGCTAATAATGTTAGCAACCTGACCGTTCTGATGACAGTCCAAGAGGATGAGGGAATCTATCACTGTGGAATAGCTGAGTGGATGTATCCCATTCAGTGGAGTGAGACGTATTTGTCAGTAAAAGGTAAGACTGAGCT